AGGTTTAAATGCCACCCTAATTCCTATTTTATTCAGAATCCTACGTAGTGTCTCAGATGTCCCCTCTTTATATGGTATAACTGTGGATGACTTATATTCTTTCTTATTTATGTTATTATTACTAGTTTCACAATTATTTTTATTTTGTTTTTGGCCTTTAATGATCTTCCTAATGAATTTTATAGGATAGTTATTCAACACCAACGCTTCTTCTATCTGTTTTAATTCATCATTTAGATCTTTTTTTGTGCTACTTAGTGCCACTGCTCGGTTTGTTAAACATTTAACTAAGCCTGCCTTAACAGTTAAAGGATGAGACGAATTAAAGTCTAAATATCTATTAGAATGCGTTGGTTTTCTATAAGGAATGATATAGGAATGATAGCATGAAAACTCAAATTTACCTCAACAGTGCCATATGGCAGCTACCTATGCTAGTAATGTGTGTTTTTAAATACAAGGCAAGACACAATTAGTTAACCAAATTCAGCTATAAAAGGTACCTTAGGCTCAAGGAGAACATTCCCGGTAGGGTGGGATGAAAAGTTCCGTCCACAAGAGTCGAACACCAAGGCTTCCTATAAACAGTCAGTCCCTTGTTATAATGACTTTCATTCATTCAAACAAACTCATATCGTTAAACAACACATTGTGAACGTGTATCGCAGAACCACAAAGAGATGTATTGCAAATAAAGGTTGAACAAGGACAGAGGCATACATTTAAGGTCAAAAATCAAATTGTGATATGCACATGTCAAATTAATGGTACACATACAGTCTAGTGGAAATGCGTAAAATAATTACAAAGTTAGTTGGGAGATCTAACTAATTATACTATATATATATATATATATATATATATATATATATATATATATATAAAGTCATCCACAAGGGGTTTTAAAAACAATTAGTCAATTGCACTACTCGTCACTGAAATTTATCACAATTCGCTGATCAAATCATTGTGAAGTCGACAGCAATCGTTAGATATTTATTGGTCAACATAGTTGGTGTCCCCCTCTACATTTCCAAACCTAGAATATCCTTACACTGCATTTCAGTTCAACACAATTATAAATTTCGTCAGTTAACGTAAGGGTACAGACAGAGATTAGAGAACTACTACAATTTGTTGACTGTCTACACAGTGGAAACAGATACTCTGAACTAGGCCATTTAATATTGCTTAAGATTTTAAAAAATTTTGAAGTGGCCTGCTTTCAAAGAACCCGTAAACCTGGAGATATAGAAGTGTAAGGCGAACTGGCATTTTCAGACTTTTCAGACCAACAATTAATAGGCCTCATCCACACATGCAATAATAATTAGGGTTAAATGAAGTGGGGGTTAGTTCGTGAAGAATGTCTTACTACAAACAGTGAAACTGTTTATATAGATTTCTACAACCTTTCGACCCACCCCCTAGCCTACATTACTCCAAACAGTACAGTATGATGATTTTTCAACTGAACAGCTCAGTAAAGGATATACGAAAACCATCCAAAGCACCGTTTTACGTCGTACTTTACAGTGGAAAGACCGGAAGCATTCAAGATGGCAATTACTCTTCGCGCAACAACCAAAATGACTTCGTATTGGTCTATTGGATATAGAGCTGAAGCGACTGATATTAGGAACTCCTATGCACAAAACAATGCCTGCATCAGGAGAAGTACATACCGACATATTCGCCGCTTTGCACAGTGAAGACCCAGTCAACTGACCATATCAAAAGCCCTAACTGCAACCTTAAGTACTGGTGTAACAACAGAAGACAAGGGCCAGGCAACAGATCGTTTTATTATGAAAATCAACACGTATTTATACATATTTCAGACAACATTATTATAGACAAGCGCAGTCATCTGATTGGTTGTTTAGGTAGACAAACGCAGGCTTCTGATTGGTTGTTTCGGGATTCCTTGACAAATCGAGTTCTCTCTGCGAATCACACTTTGCCACGTTAACTTAGCTGTGATTGGTTGTTGACTCAGTCTTGTTCATATTTTCTCACGGCCCATATTAGTGACCTAGACCTTAACGTAGATTAGTGCCAACCAATCGGCTAGCAGCCTGCTCTCACCACACTCGTCCCCCCGTCAAATACGTGCGACTGAAGTCGGCTTGATCTACTTGGTGCAGGCGTCATCGTTGGCTTGTCTCGCTGTATCCATTTCTGGAGCTCGCTGACGTTCACGCGCCTCTCATTGTTCGCCATTGCGACTGTGTCTGCGTAACCCCATCTCGAAGTGACCATATATGGTCCTTCCCACTTTGGAAACTGTTTGCCTGACCCTGTCGAACATTCGTCCATACTTCGGCCGACACCTTCATATGCTGCTTTCGCCCGACCTCCCAGCAGCGTCTCAAGTAGCAGCTCCATCGCTGGCAGATCTTGAACGCCACTCAACTGCGCAGAAGCCTTGAAGTCCTGCCCGAAGATCCATATGTCTCCATCAAAAACTGCAGGGTATAGGCTTTTCATTTGTCGGTAGGCAGCGACACCAAATGTAACAACAGAAGACAAGGGCCAGGCAACAGATCGTTTTATTATGAAAATCAACACGTATTTATACATCTTTCAACTACATTATTATAGACAAGCGCAGTCATCTGATTGGTTGTTTAGGTAGACAAACGCAGGCTTCTGATTGGTTGTTTCGGGATTCCTTGACAAATCGAGTTCTCTCTGCGAATCACACTTTGCCACGTTAACTTAGCTGTGATTGGTTGTTGACTCAGTCTTGTTCATATTTTCTCACGGCCCATATTAGTGACCTAGACCTTAACGTAGATTAGTGCCAACCAATCGGCTAGCAGCCTGCTCTCACCACACTGGTTGGACAAAAGTGACTCTCGTCGACTTACTGGTTTATTATTATTATTATTGTTCCCTTAGGTTTCGAGTAGAAAAAGAAACCTTCAACGGCATGTCTCCATTTTGTTCTATCTATCTGTATCTGAACCAACGATTGGCCATAGTGTCTCATTTCCTTCTTGTCACACGATCTCTTGTATGTCAGCCTCAAACACACTCGCCCAACTTATCCTTTCTCATCCAGATTCCGCTAGAGGATCTGACCGGTCATACTATGTGATTCTGCAGTCTCTTCAAAGTGTACCCGATCCATCTCCACTTTCTCTTACATATTTGTTGAGCGAGAGGTTCTTGGTTAGTTTTTGTTCCCAATGTCTCTTGTTGGAAATTATTTCTGACAAGCTATTCGTTCTTCAGTATGCATCCACTGAAGGCAGCTGTTGATTAAAAAATTTTGAAGTGGCCTGTCGAAAATGTCAAGTTTCCGACATATATATATAAGCACTGACTGAGTAACTTGGAATTTGCGTCATATGTGAAACTTTGATGCCTAAACTGTTTACAGTTTAGCTGCTATAAGCGGAAAATCATTTAATATTGGAAAATGGCAATCCAACTTGGTGCTGCCATATTCATTGCTCATAGATTGTTTTTAATGACCTCTAGTTGATGCCATTGGTTTGTGACAATATCTTTGTTGAAAGATTGATACAAATCCCTATGAAGAATAGGTATAAGAATACAAAATATGATATCTGGTTATTTGAATACTAGGGTAAGGGTTAGGCTAGAGAAAGATATAGGTTGGGGATAGATAAGAGCTACGGTTTAGTTAGCGATCCAGTAGAAATCCCACCTGGATAGAACAGTAGCTTATTTACTTACTATACAGCTTTTCTCCTGTTCGGCAAAAAAAGAGTCATACTGATGTGCCGCCTTGGTAGGGATTCAATGAATAAGCGCAGAATACACAGACTTATAAATGAAGTAAGAAAAGTGACACAAACTCTGATTGATAATAGTTATCCACACAAGTTGATAAGGAGATATAAAACGGTCATCAGAACAACAAGACCCACTCTCCAACTCGCCATTAAGGATGACATATATATTAGGCTACTAAATGCATGGCTTATCATAGCAGTTTGATAACTTGACAAGATTGAATACTGAGGTTAAAAAGACTCTCTATACACCTAGGACTGGAATAATTGGGAACTTGATGTCTGTGTATCTGTGTATCTAAGCCCTTAGAGCATAAGAGGAAAAATGACGTCAAATACAGCACTAAATCTACCAGTTTAAGTGTTCGTTTGGTTACACATGAGTAGATGGAAGGAGGAATTGTCGATCTTTGCAAGTAATGACTTCAGAAGGAAATAGAGCCTAAACAATCCATTGATGGTGCCGACAGAGGACCTAGCGCTTCTCTTGAGAAACATATATTTTAGAGACAGGACATACAGTTGATGTTTACACGTTTTTAAAACCTATCTATAAAAGGTGGGTTGGGGAGGGTTTATCCTAAAGTTTGTGAAAGCCCTAGCAATTAGGAAGTTTAAATCACCCTTATGCGTTCGAAGCAGCAATTCGTCACCACACTAAGCCTTGCTTGGTAAACTTTGTTTTGATACTAGGGCAGCTGTACTATTACCACTCTTTTTGGTTTACTGATCTCCATCGCTATTTTGACCTTCACAACATCCTTTTGACTTGACATAAGTCTATTTTCTCACCACTAAACTCTTTATTAACTTCATATATATTCCTTTGACATGTCTCTGTGTTATCATATTGCTCAAAATGTGATGCGAAAATGTAGATTTTGTCATGAAACGATGACGCAATTTAGAGATTACTGAAAACCAAGAAGCATTGGACAGCTGTTTCGTCCTAATTTTGAATTATTACTAAGTGTGCACCGATGACCCCTTCCAGATATCCTTCTCTTATATGATAAAACTATAGAGGCCTTACATTCTTTCTTATTTTATCATTATTAGTTTCACTATTATTTTTATTATGCTTTTGATCATTAAATATTATTGTATAACACACTGTGAGACTTTATCAAAAACAATTTTCTTCATAATGTGTGTAATTCCTCACCCATCCTTACTCATCCTATCCAGTTTGACTCTTTCTCATTTTTTCACAACCACATTTCATTTTTACAGGTGCTTTCCTTATCCCCTATTTCATAAGTATTTTTCTTGCTGGTATCCCACTGTTTCTATTGGAGGTGACAATTGGACAATATACACATCGCGGGGTTATAGCAGCATGGAATATATGCCCAATATTCCAAGGTAAGTTATATATATATATATCCTTTCCTTTTCACTTGTTCTAATTACTGGTATTACTACTATTGTCCCCACTGGGTTCCGACTGGAACAGTACATTCCCATGTCATTCTGTTCTCTGCAGTTGTTATTTAGCTGGCTCCATATGTCACCTTACAACCTACAACCAATTCATCGCTTTTAATCGCTTTTCACTCAATCGTCACCTCAGAATCTGTCCTATCCATCTTTTATTTCTAACTTTATATTTATCAGGCGGTTGGTTCTTGATAGGTTAGTGTTCGTGGACATCTGCTGTTCAGGAGAGCGTGGAGGCAATTATCATGGCCAACTCATCCCATGGTTCGTTTTCTAACTCACAAGTGAATTAGATTCTATCTTATTTTGGAGTTTATATGCTTTTTAAAGAACTAAGGGTTGTCATGTTCAGATTTTCACACCGCAGTCAATGTGTCATCCATACATATCTCCACCATAACCTAACTATTAGCAAGACTGAACATTCAGAGAGCTTTACGTTTACAGCTATCCATGAATATCAAAGAAAATACCCATTGAGTCATGGAGAAAATAAAAGACAGATTCAATGAAGAAAATTTTCTTTATCGACGAAATCATCTTCAGGGGCTGTATAATCGTATTTATATTTACCAAAATTGTATAGTAGTCTATTATCAAGTAACAGGGGGGAAGACATAATTGATATAATTACTCAAAAGTGGCTTTAGAAGTAAATATCAAGGCTGTAAATTACGTAGTACTCAGTGGCACAAAGGAAGAAATGGTTAGAAATTTGATAGGATTAAAATTGCTATTGAGTGTTAATTTAACAAGTGTGAAGAGAGTGTTAAAATGTACAAAAAGAATAGATCAGAGTGAAAGTAATGAGTTCATTATTATTAAAGTAAAAGCAAACTAAAAGTAAACTGAACATTAAAAATAGAATTTTTTATACAGGGAACGACTGATGAAGAGGTTGAGACTGAGGTGAAATACGAGACTGGACAAACGTTTTCCCTATACAGAGTTCGAGGTTGCATTGAAGAATTTCCATCACCTACATCATACACAAAAGCCCTTTGTACCATTTGGCCTCACCTTGTAGATAATCTTGAAAGAAAACTCTGGTGGAATGACATGGGATACTGTCATCTAGTTGTTGAATTAATAAACCCTATAGGATGATTTTAATAATAATAATAATGATTTACTTTATTCCAAAAACACTACTTGTGATACAGAATGGAATTTTCAGCATTAATCACAATATTGCATCTAATTTCCTCAAATTATCAATAAAAATTAATCACACAGAAAATTTTCCACATTTACAATAGAGGTAGTGTCAAAAACATGCAGCATATAAAATGGAAATAGCAATAATAATGATAACAGCTAGGGATAATAATAATAATAATACAAGTGAAAATTGCCGTTGGCTGCTTGTTTCACACAGTATTGGCAATGTGGTATAGAAATCCTAACATGTTTAAAAATATTGAATATAATGTTCTTTCTACATGATATGGTGAAGGAAAAAACATAGATTACAGCCGTCATGGAGATAAGTTGGTGTTTGCAATTATGAGAGTAAAACAGAGAATTAACAGGACCATAAATATAATAGAAGTAATAAAAGTAAAACTTGAAGGTATGTAAGGATGGATGGAGGAAATTGTTTATTTACTAGATGAAAAAGGTTAGTTAATTCTTGCCTGACACTATTTTCATCACATAAAATACGTGCCAAGTATGGTATCACAGAATTCTTATACTTAGACGTGCGAGCATACAGTTTTCTGAAGTTACTCCTTGTTCTACCTGAGGAGATGCAAGGTGAAAGCTGAGGGTAAAGCGGATGCTCCAAGTCAGACAAAATCCCTTTAGCAAATTTATTGCACGAAGTCAAATGCCTATCGACAACGACGTTAACTATGTGGTCCACTGGAACACCACTCACTCTACTGACAGTCTTCAGTATTCTACGAATTGTGACATAGTCTTTTTTAAGCAAACCAGGAAAGAATAAGCAGGGGTGAACAATAAAGAAGAATAGGTAGGATGCAAGAGTTTATGAACTGTAGGATGAGGGGTTGAGTTATACCCGAGTGTCTTAACTTCTTAATGTAAAATGTCAAGCGGAATATTTTACTGGAGATTGCTAAGACATGGGAAGACCAGGAGAGATCAGAAGAGAGAATGAGTCCAAGATACTTAATTTCTGATTTGATTCTAATATCATTGTCGTCAATTTTACAAGTGTCATGAGAATCGATGACTTCTTTTAACTGTCGTTTACATCTTAAGCTGAAATCAACAGTTTGACACTTTAATAATGCAAAAAGTTTGTAGCTCAGATGAATGATTTCGATTTGTTTGTATTCTCTGAGCTAAGCTGGTGTATATTTAATTGGGGGAGCTTTGATCATTCTCCTCATTCTAGACAACATCTTCAGTACATGTTTTAGTATGAAATGAACTTATTTGAACTCTTCATGGTTGATAATATAACTGTATCTCATGATAGACAACCATTGTCGTGATTGATTGACAATTTACGTCTTTATTGATGACTTGGAATTTGAACTTTCTTGTTATATGATTTATTTTTTTTGTTTTATTAGCTGGTAAATCTGGTCTATAGTAATGTGTTTATTAATTGCTGAGTATCAGGCTTCTAGAAAGTCCCTGATTGCATCTTCAATGTTTCCTCTATTTAAAAGTTCTGTATTATCCCAGTCATTGAATTTGTGTCCTAATTATCGACATAAATCGATATGACAGAATATAAATCGTACCTTTTCACAGGTAACTTGTATTCTTCGACTCGGATTCCACGGGTGTCTCCCTATTTTGACTGATGTAATGTTTATTGCAATTCATACAACTTATTTCGTGAATGTTATTAATTTTATCTGTCCTTTCTGTTAAATCTTTTGGTTTGCACAATATCTAATCAAGTGAGTCTGCTGGCTTGTGTTCTGTTTTCATTTCAAACAGTCTTAGTATTTATTCCAGCCGCTGTCTCAGAGATATGTTTTATGTGTGGTAGAGTGAATTTTCTTGTGATCTTTGAGAATGGTTTCTTGTTGTTATTATGGTTTGAATTTAAACACTTTTCGATGAATCTGTACGGGAATTCGCTCTTTCTGAAGACAGTCAATAGGTATTTCTCTTCCATTCTTTTGACAGGACCTGAGTGCTACAGTGTATTTGGACTCTTCTAAATAATGTCTGCATACAGCATCTTTTGTAAGTCATTGCGTGATTGTTGTTATAGTTGGATATTTGGTCTGTGTGTGCGTTGATTTTCTGTATACTTGTGTTTCTCAGTTTCCTGTTAGTTCTCATGTCAAGTCAATAAAAAGGACTAATAGGGGGGGGGGGAATTTAAAAATCAATCACGGCAAATGTTGTCAGGAGGTGCAATTATATTATCATTCATGAAGAACTCAGATAAGTTCAGTCGATACTAGAATCTGCGCTGAAGGAAGATGTTGTCTAGAAGAGGAACAATGATGGCTTCGCAATTAAGTCTACAATCAACTCAGCTCATAGAACACAACGAAATCAAACTATTTAATAGTGTACTACAAAGTTGCTTCCCGAATTTATCCAAATATATACATGGAGAAAATTTGCAAGAATTTTGTAGCATAAAGAATGGATACGGCTTCTCTTCCTCCATAAAGACATTGAGCTGCTGAATTTCGTCTACTGCCCTTTAAAGGTGGGCTTTGGGTAGTTCTCTCTCTTCAATATGCCGACTTCTGTTCAGGATAGCATGACATTTGAGAAGTAACCTGTAGAAGTCTACTGCTCATCAATAGTTTAAAGCATAGATGTGTCACAACCAATAAATTTTCCAAAGAAGTCAGTAGTTGAGTAGTTATCATCACAGATAAATACAAACATAATGACTGAAGTTGAAATTTGTGGAGAAATTTTAGTCATGGTGAGATTTGAAACAATGGTACCCAAGTTAAGATAGCCTGTCTACCTTACCAGTTGGCCTATGGCAGTAGGCAGCTGTAAGCCACATCCATCTCATCAATTCAAGGATATATGAGATGATTTTGAACTCTGAAGTTCCAGGGTCAGTGGTGTGTCTATTTGCACAGGATGCACGCTCAACCTTCCGTCTTTACCGAGCTAGCTTTCGGCTAGAAGAGGTTTAAAAGTGTCTGACGACTATTCTACCGCTGAAAAAACAGACGCGAACCCTGTATATGATACTGTAGAGCTGTTTCATGTTGTTCGTCGGTGGTACAGTGGTTAGGACTCTCGCCGACCATGCACATGGTCCGGGGTTCGAGCCCACGCCGGCGCACACCTGATATCTATGGTCGGCCTGCGAAATTTGGGCTACCGATATCCATGCTGAAAATTCCATACTTGGAATCAAGCTGTAATCAAAAATAAAATAAAATAAATAATAGTTAGTACACACCCATAACTCTGCAGGAAAGAAAGGAGGGAAATGAACCCAGGACCTATGCGTTACAAAGCGAATCCAAAATATATCCAGTTGATGGATCATAGTCGATTTCAACAAAGAGTATTCCTCCTATCAAATTCTCTTCTTCAGTGCTTTTAGTATTGTTATATCTTTTCAGTAGGCGTAGGACAATACGTGTGCATCAGTTTTGGTCTTCAGGATGGTGATGTACCAAATTCTTTGTAGACTTTTGCGTCCTTTTCACACAGCTGAAGCTATTTGATGAAACAAACAACCAACCAAGCAATCTTTATTGAGAAAGAGAACGTCGACATGTTATTTCACTTCCTTGACCATCCATAGACTGAGAAGAAGTCTCCACTTATTCGTTTAATTCTTCTCTTCCCTCTCTTTTTTGTCCCCAGATAGTTTTTGTCTCAATGTTTTGTAGAATCTTTTTACTCTTCAATATTCATCAGAAATTTAATTCAGTAAGCAAAGATCACTGAAAAGCGCTAGCAGAGAGTATTGGGCAGCTGTTTTTCCCTCCTAGTTTAAATGCGTT